TTCAAGCACGACTGCTGGTGATACCTGCTCCCAAAATTCCTGAGTGTGCCTTAGAAAATCTCCCCTCTTCGCTCTCCTACTTCTAAGAAACTTGTTTATATTGAGAATTAAATCATTCCCCCATTATTTTAAGCTTTTGCATCACTCACAGTGGCTACATTTTCACCCTGCCACAGATAGTCATTTTTGGGGAGCTTTTGGGGAGTTTTGGGGAGTTTCCAAAATCAAGAAAAAAGTGAGAAAAAAAATCAAAGGCAAGAAAAAACACTATAAAGAAAAAAAAAACCACCAACAAATGAACCAAAAAAACCTTGCAAAACAGCTCCCAAGAGCCTGCAAAATACAAGAGCTATGGAATTCTTCTCATCTTTTGTTCACCAACTGTTGCTTCCTTGTCCTGACCATTGTACCCCTGAAAGGGGACCACAAAGCGCCCAGCCAGTGGAGATGTTCGCTGGAGTGTCCCTTTATGCCCCACAGGGAAGCCAAGAGGGACTCATTAGTCATCTGGAGATCTGGCCCCAAGGCCCGAAGGCATGAAACAGCCTCCAACAAAGCACCGACTGAGATATGTCAGGGTGGCGCTCCCTTTGCATCTCTCTCTCTTGGGGCCTTTCAAGTTGTTTTCTCAACACTTCTTTTGTTGCTGTTGGCATGAGTGCACTTAAAAGCAGCATATCGTTATGTGCAGAGAATGCTCACTGTTTTCTGTCCTTTAAAAAAATCTCTTCCAAGTACTTCCCTATGAGCAATTAAGCTAACTCTATGGGATACATTTGATAACAGATATTCTTTAGTTTGGGTGACAGTTAACAAGCGGGGCTGTAATGAATAATAAAGTACTTTTTAGTGACACACAGTCCCCATTCACCCTGAGTGGGGACTATTTTTGTGCAAGTTCAACAGAAGGTTCTAACAATGCCACCCTCTTGTATAAGTCGCACAAAATAGGCATTCATCAAGGAGGATTACTCTACCCCAAAACGGGGCTCTCTCGGCAGCTACGTGCTGTGGGTGGGGATGCACAATTCCAGACAGGGGTGGAGACCGAGGAAAAGGCATGGGTCTAGCACGAAAAATACACGCTGTGTCAATTCATAAGCACAAAAGAGATGCATTTAAGAAGAAAAAAGAAAAATAAAGGAAAAAAAAAGGAAGAATGAAAACAAGATGCAAAACCTAAGGCTGCCCCAAGAACTTTTAGGAAGAGTAACACGCGCCCCAAGTGACCATGGCAATATTTCAAGGTAATATTTTGCTAAGTGTGAACTCTCCTTCTAAGTCCACCCCCTCCCTGCAGAGACAAAGGCAGCTCCTGGCTCTCCATCACCAGCCCCCCATTTCGGTATCTTCTACTTGTTCTTCAAACACGCTCCCCCCTCACCCCACACAGAATCTGCCCCTCGGTCACCACAGGGCTCTCGGGGACATGCGAGAATAATTAATTCATTTATTGATCTCCCTCTTTTTCTGCTGCTTGGGAGAGGTGCCTCCCTCGGGACAATCCAGCCAAGCTGTATGTGTGTATATACACACTCGTGTGATGCCCTCTACAGCCTCCCAAAATATGGTTAGGTTCCCCTTCCCAAAAACCAAACTTCTGAAACATTAGGGTAGTAAACACATATAACTCTCCAATCATTCAAACGCTCACCAAAAAACTACTCTGGTACCCCATGGAGGCTTGTTCTTCTTCTCTCACCACGTCATAACGCTTTTCACCTTGAGATATTTAGAGACAACTAAACCTCAGACTTTCAAATCGATTTACCCTAAGCCAGACACCCTTTTAGCTTAAATGCAGCTCAAATAAGGGAAAACGAACCAAAACAAATAACTCCTTTACGCCCACGTTCAGGATACACCTAAAAACTCGAGAAATTCAAACCCAATCTCAGTTATCCACAACTTTGAGTCACCAGATTTTTTTCCAGGCAAGGGCTGCCTGCTGACAGTGGGAACAGCATCTGCTTCCTCCGAGAGGATGAGGAGTAAATGCCAGGGGAGATGTTCCCTCTCTTCTCCTGGAAGTTTTCCTCTACCTCGACACATGGATCTCCCACAGACTAAGGAGCATCTGCTTTTACCTTCGCTGTAGACTAACTACATTTACATGTTTGCTCCCAAAAGAGGATTCTGAGCTCTGAGAACACTTTCTATTTTTAAAGGAGAGAGAAATTAAGGAGGGGGGGGGAGGAGAGGGGAAAGAGGCTAAATTCTCCCTAGAGACTGGCAGTTTCAATGCCCACTTGAAAGGCTCTAAAGGTGTTTCAGAACACCTTCTGAAAATCAAGCCACTAACAAGCGTCTCAAAACTTTCAAAGAAACCAAGAAGTGACCCTTCTAAGAGTTTAGACCACGATGCACATTTTCCGACTGATGATCATGGAATAAAAACATATTTCCAAAACCAAAAAGAAAAGTAGGTTCTTTCATTATAGGGTGTACATATTTAATAGAGTGCAGCTAGGCATAAAACCGCATGCTTTCAAGGGTACTATCTATGAAAAAAATTCTTTTTCAGCAGTAAATAACGCAAATGAGGGTGATATACACTTAACACAGAACGTGTCTTTAAAATATTAACTGTATTTGTGTGTCTGGTAAAGGGAAAAATTAGATATGATTGAAATAGCATTTCTAGCACAAGTTGCTCATTTTATAGCAATCCCTGCTGACTGGCCAGAAAAAGCCTTCGGAAAAATTTTGTTTCTTCATCGCCTTTGTTTCTGGTGCAAGCATGGAAATATTTTATCTGAGCAACTTTTTAAAAGCCCTCAGTCCAGATTAAAAAGAAGCTTTGGTGCCTGGAAGCGAGGAAGGAATGGGGATGGAGAAAAGCTCGTGTTGCAAGCGAGTTTAACAAAAATATTTCTTCTGTGCTTTACCTACTCAAAAGTGCAACAAAATAACTCCCAGCATTTAGCAGAGCAGATATTTGGGGGCTAAATTAGTGCTTTGGGGAAAATATTAGGTATTCTGTAACAGGAGGCAATTTCTACAGTCCTTCCCTCTGATATCTCAGTTGTGTTTGTCATGGGACACCAGGGAATAAAATCTGTGGAAGAAAAATGGAATTTCTATGGGGTCGTTTTTTAAAAGATGCTGGAAAGCTGCGCGGGGTGCTGAAAAGTGTCACAAAAAAGTGGCTTTTAGTGCTGGGGAAAACATCCTGCAGTGGGATGCTTCAAGAGCTCGATCTAGTCATTTCATGCAAAAGAAAAGCGAGGAGTGACTTGATTACAGCATATAAATAACTTTATGGAGGTGGGATGCGAGGGGGGGAGTAGAGTTTTTAATATAGTAGAGAAAATACATGGCTGGACTCTAAACCCTGACAAATTAACACTGGAAATCAGGAAAAGCACAGACTCTCCATTGCCACAGGCTATCAAGGGAAGGGACAGATCCTGGATGTCTCCACACCAGGTTTGGATGCCTTTCTAAAAGGCTTGCTTGAAATACGGAGAAAAAAGATAATTCTGATAATCGTCAGTCTGACCATAGATAAGACAAATATTTGCCTAAACTTCACACAGCAAATAGAAACAAAATGGAATATTTATGCTAAAAGCTCCCTTTTTCTGGAAAGGTTTTGATTTTATAAAAATCTCAATAAATATTTTGTCAATATTTAGGGGAGCATATTAAGCATTTAGTTTTCTCATGGTGAACTGTTAATAAAACCCCATGTCTTTTTCTGGAAAGGTTTTGATTTTATAAAATCTCAGCAAATATTTTGTCAATATTTAGGGGACCGTATTAAGCATTTGGTTTTCTCATGGTGAACTGTTAATAAAATCCCATGCTCTTAAAGAAAAAGCTCTCAAAAATTAAGAAGCAGCTTAAAAAGCCCACTAGCTCTAACACAATGAAGAAAAGACAGACACCTTCTCCTGACCGTACTCTGACAACTGGGTGTTATTCTGCTTTTAAATTGCCTCTCTAAAAGTTATTATTCAGGCAACTGGGGGTGACAAGATGTCACACAGGACCTCATTCCCCTTTCGCTCACCCATGGGACAAGCTGTCCCTGCTCCCCCTGCCCCACAGCAGCTCCTCCAAGCTGGATCTCAGGTCACTGAGAGGGAGGAGAAGATGTGGGTCCCTTCCCCTCTCATGGCTCCTACCCCACCAGCCACTGGTGCCTCCTGGTGGGGATCTTCCCTGGAAGCACCAGTGGAGCCTACATCCCACACTCCTGTTCCCTGGAACTATCTAGACAACTACAGAAAGACACCTGGAGAACTATGGCAACAGAACTGGGCTCCTCAGAAGTTGCTTTACCAGACCAAGGACAAGCACTAGGAGCCCCACTGGTTACTCTACAAATCTTTTTCAAGGTCTGGGTCAAAACACCCCCAGGTAAGGAGAGAAGGAACACCACGGGAAGGAGCAGCATGGGCTGTGCCTCAGCAGATGAGGACATCAGCAGGCTGGGAAGCTGGTGGGATCATCCCCCTCGGTGGGATGACAAAGAGGAAGCCCAGGTGGCACCGGGACGGCCGAGCTCCATCACTTGTTGGTTGCCCCGATGCCCTACGGATGGGAAAAGGTGCTCTATCTCGGTGGGAGAGACCCCACCATCCCTCCCCTCTCCTCCTCCTCGCGGGGGGAGTGGGGGGAGAGAGTCCCCAGGGAGAGACAGAAAAGGGCTGTGGCATTTTTTGGATAAGGAGGAAGGAAGGAAACCCAACAACTTTGACGAAACCCAACAATTTTGACGAAACCCACGTAGAAGTTAAGAGGGAAGGGAGAGGACTGAAAAGGGGCAGCTCCTTCGTTGGGGAGGGTTGGGGGGGGTGGAAGAGGAACAATTGGGGTAACCAAAAAAAGCTGGGAGGATGAAACGGAGAGGTAGGAAGATGGGGAGGGAGGGGAGCAAGAAGAGGGGCAGGGAAAGAAGGGGCGTCCCGAGAAAGAAAGAGCAGGGGGGGGACGGGACGGTGAAGGGGGGACGGGAGGGTGAAGGGGGGGACAAAAAGGAGCCGGACCCTTACCTGCAGGTAGGGCTGGCCCCTCTCCACGCCCCCCACCACGATGTCTGCCGAGGCCATGCCTCCGCTGGCCGAGAGCCCCAAGCCCACGTAGCCGCGGGTGCGCACCTCCAGGCGGAAAGCGAGGGAGCTGCCGCGGAG